TCTCTGGAAAAACCAAGCTGGCTCAGGATTCTGCAGTGGCTGAAATATGAAAGTGAAGATGTTTGGTCATTAAAGTGGTTCGGGGAATTTTCCACTGGGGCACTAAATAAAAATAAATAAATAAATAAAGAAAGGTGTACCACATTCATCTAGGTATTCTCTCCCAATACCACATGAGTACAGAGACAAAAAAGCTGCACCTTAAAATGATACGCTAAAGCAGGCATTAATCACTGAAAGTATTTGTTGATATGCTCAGAAAAAAAAAAAAAACATATGAGTCATTACCCCAATGCAGTTTCCCAACCAAAACGGTTTTGTGGATGATAATTACCACTGCTGCTGACGACCGGCATGTTGTGGACTTAAACTGTTTGCTGTTGATCTCATGGGTATTTGAATACAGCAGCTGTGTTCCCCCAGCAGGCTAAAACTTTGGATGACAAAGAAGGAGGGGTAGAATAAAGAATGCAAATTGGGCATCAGGGAACACAAAGGCAAGCACTTTATTAGTTTTATCAGTCATAACATGTGGATGAGGCAGAATGGCCGCAATAATTGGCACTGCACACCGACCCAGTGACACCAGAGGCCACAAAGGAGGCAACTGCCTGCTTAGAGTGAAACAAGAACAACAACAATAGAGTGTCTGCAGTTGTGATGAGAGCAGGCTGCTCAGTGCCAGTGTTACAAGGTCCTTGAGCGTTGTCTGTGCCAAGCTCGAGCAGAGCGGCACAGAGGTTCTTCCACCACTGTTCATTGTCATCAAGCAACAATGTATAACCTACTGCATGCTCTTGAACCAGACTAGGCCATCGTTCTCTGCCCTTACTCATTGGGACTTTGAACAAATGTAACTGCTGTGTTTGTGTGTGATTGTGTGTCAACAATGCTGCCTTGTGTGGTCTGAATGAGTACCCATCTGTGGTTAGTCTCAGATGCGTAGGTGTGATACGCAGCGCCCTGCATTGTTTCTTGACCTCCTGTTGCTGCAGCGATAGCACTGCGAGCTGGCGCACGCTCTCATGAAGCTGCACATGAATGCATGCATGCATACCCAACCTGTGACCAACGCACTGGCATAGCACACGTCTCCGTGTGTCTCTCCCGCACACAGAGGCTGTACCCTCAGGCTAGAGATGTTGAAAAGCTGCAGAATATCCAGTCTTGTGCATAATGTTTCAGAAACCTTTTGGCATGGTTGACTGGTGTTTCACCTCTGAGAAAGACAAGTTTTTTTTGTTTTTTTGTTTTTTTATTTTTTATGAACATTTGATAAAATACTGGATGAACACTCACAACCTGCCAAAGTATAATTTACATGTGCTTACATTTGATTGAGTCCAGTTCAAGTAATGTGTAAAACAAGATGATGATGTTCAATGTAGTTTTCCAGAAGTGTTAATATTTGAGTAAATGGGGTATATCCACAGAGCAAAACTATAAATGCAACACTTTGGTTTTTGGCCCCCATTTTTCATGAGCTGAACTCAAAGCTCTAAAGCATTTTCTGCCTTCAATTTTTATTTTTTTTTGGCAGTTTTATTGTTCATGAATCTGTTGAAATCCGTGTGAGTGATCATTTCTACCATCCACCTCACCATTGTGGCATATCGAGATGCTGATTGGACAGCATGATTATTGCACAAGTGTGCTTTAGGTTGTTCACAATATAGCGCATGTGTGCCTTCGGCTGCCAATAATAAGAGGCCTCTTCTAAGTCTATATGCAGTTCCGCTGTACTGGGGCAAAGGAGAGATGCTCACCAGCACTGATTTTGACTGCTCTGTGAGCGACATTTGAGGGAAATGATTCTTTTGCGTACACTTTGAGTCCATCTCATGGAAAATTGGAGCAAAAACAAACGTGTTGCATTTATAATTTTGTTCAGTATTCTGTATATGTTCACGTGTCTGTGTGAGGAATTATCTCCCTTTATACAACCGAATTGGCATTAGTATGTTTTAAAGGAAAAAATACATGTAGAATTTGTACACAACCACTATTCCCCCACTCAAGAGTGGCACACACGTCTCCTATGTATATGCAGGGCTGTGAGCGGTGGTGACCCCTTGTGCCTTCAGTAGAATTCACTGAGGAGCCGGCAGACTGTTTTTGAAGAGAGACAGAAAGAGGCACAGACGGGGTGATAAAAGACGCGAGGCGGTTTTGCTCGACGGCTGATGAGAGGGGAGAGAATGGCAAGCACATGGCTCCCATCACAGCTGTTTTCTAAGCCGCGCTTCCTCGTCCTTTATCTGTATTTTTCGCATGTATCTTCCCAAACGCCTGGTTCATTTGCTCATTGTCTAAGGTGTAGTTGTGAATGTTTGCGGTTGCTGATTAGCCTGAGTGAGAACATTTTCTTCATTCCTTGCACTGAGTCAACATGTCGTATGCGTGTAGGACCTGGTTTCAAGTGAAACTGGGTGTCAGGATGTTTTGGTGAATTGGGCCAAGGTGTATATTGTGTTGGAAGCAGTTAGTTAATTAATTACTTACAAAGTACAGTTTCTCATAGAGTGCACTATATAGTATTGTCACATAGATACATTTATGAATTGCTAATGTTGGAATGAGTGTTGTTGGTGGAAGGATGTGTGGAGAACTATTGGCAGCCCCTGTCAGTTCATAGAATTTGTATGTCTACTCCAAAAATTCATGCAGGGAGCTTTGCAGTCATATTTTTATCTGAAGATTCTGAGGTAATTTTCTTCTATTATTTCAGTGTTCAAGATCATTATACCAGGCCATTTTCATGTCTTTGCAGTCTTATCCAAATGCATATTTGTAATGCTGTTATGGATTGAATAATGTTGTGTGTCTGTTTGTCACAGTAAAAGTAAGCATTGCTGCAGAGGAGAAGCATCAACTGCATTTTGAGTGACATGCCTAAATTAACTCCACTGGTTCCGCCAATCATGAATGAATGTGATGTATTCTCGTATGTACACTTCCTCTGTTTTTGAAAAGCTGAAGCTTTGGGTTTTACTTTTCTGATGTCTAAATGAGCTGCAAAAACCACTTTAGTTAAAAGCAGCCCTGTGTAAATAGCCATTTTGGGTGAAAGGTTGTGACCGGTCACACATGGGGGAGCTGTCAAAAAGCAGATGTGTTAGAGTTTATCCGACACTAGCTCCATGAAAATCAGCGAGGTGAGCCACTTCAGTACCAGTGGCGGACATTCAACCCAGGAACAGCGTCAGGCCGTTGCCTGGTTCTCAGTCTTGTTGCCTGCGATAGAGGGAACAGATCGCAACCCGAAACTCACAGGCGCGTTTGATTCTTGTCGGTGCAGCTTATCATGTTTCACTAACCAGGAGGGATCAGACCTAAATAACATGGGAGAGTGGCATTCTTGTTTGTGTTTCACTTTACGTTGTTGTGGTACATACTGTAGAAACCTTAGACAGAAACACTTTGATTTTAAAAAATGTTTGCCTATCTGCATATATGTCTTTAGTTTCAAATTTAAAACAATTAACCTTTAAAGGCAGCAAAGGGTAGAGATCATCCTCTTATTTAGGCCTGACTTTTTTACTTGTCATCTGTGGCTGTGGAAGTGCTTTGAACTCAGTTCAGGTTGAGGCACTTGACTGTGACGTGGCTTGCAAAGTGTCATTCCACTGCTGAAGATTTGAAACGTTGCTTCCTGTTCATCAGATGAAGGAAAAAAAGAGACAAAAGCCTCTCTGTCAAAGCAGATGATTTTCTGGCTACTCACTTTGTCACTCAACCTGTCAGGTTCAATTACGTATTGCAACACTGTTTGGCCTTCTGAAGAAAAATCTTGGCATCAATGCAGTGCCATTTAGTTTTGATAAGACCTCACAATTCATTGCTGTTTTTTTTTTTTTTTGGTCAAGATTCATTGACCTAAATTATATTACAATTTATACCACGCATACGATATACCGCGCATGATCATTTGTCAATGAGCCCACACGTCCGCTCTTGGAGCAGTGACATCACACCTTGTGTGTGTGATGTCATGTTGGGCTGAAGCGTCAGATGTTGTTGCCATATCAGTGTGTTTGCCGTCTAAACAAGCAGAGAAATAATGGTGGCGCACGGTGCCGAGGTCACCAGGGGTGGGTCGCGCGGGGCTGTACTTTGTTCAAGAAAGTAGGAATTCTTCCGGCTGGTTGATGAAGTCAATGCATTCCTCAGAGGCAGGTCCTTATTGGCAGCCAACAGAGCACAGCCAGGCACTGAAAGAAGACCAAGATAAGGTGTGTGGGGGGTGCCTCGAGTGAAAACACGTCCCACTGAGATTAGAAAGTCAGACGGAAAGAGAACGGCATCTGTCCGAGTGTTGTGTTTTACCCACACAGGCTACATGGTTTCCTTCTCGGTGCCAACTTTTGTAGATAATCCTTCACTTTTTGAGGCTTTTCACTTTTTATGAGCCTTGCAGTATTGTATTTCGTTATTTTGAAGCTTGGCTGTAAAAGCACAAGCTGACAGAGGCAGGAGTCAACATAATGATATTAATTTAGAGTCAGGCCTTCTGCCTGGAAAGAGTGTGTTGATTTACTCACTCAAGTCACTTTTGGTCGTGCTGAATGGGATCAAATTAGGAGGACACATACAAACACACACCCCTCTTTTTTTGAATATTGCTCCCACCCGCCACCAGATGCATACAAGCTTGAGTTGCTCCACTTTTCCTGTCCATTCCCTTTGGCAGTAAGCTATTATAACAGCTTTGAAGGAGGGTAGCAGAGCGTTTAATTGGGTTACAGATTGGCATTTATGCTCCTAGCGCCACAAGATCTTACCACAGCTCTGAACAGACCTCGAGGATTGCTACTACACACTTTGTCTTCTGGTGTGGTCATAAATGGTCGAACAGCATAGCTGCTTCTTGATGTCAGTATGAATTCTGAATCATATGAAGCGGAATGCACAACTGTCAGTAGACTATCTTTTGTATACGATGGACACAAACTGTCTCCAACTGTCAACACCCGTGCATCTCTATGGTCTATCCCATACAGATTTGGGGCCATGCAATGCTGAGCTGAGGAAGGCGGAACTATTGTGATCAGTTTGGAAGACCATCTTACCAATCACCTTGCTTCGTTCGGTCGCAGATGGAGCTCAAAGTGTGGGTGGACGGAGTGGTGCGGGTGGTGTGTGGACTCTCAGAAGAGACGTCCTGCCAGGATGTGGTCATCGCTCTGGCCCAGGCAATAGGTGAGTAACACCAGCTCTTGATGTGAGAGTGTCACTTGATTTGACTCAGTTTAAAAACGTGTTGTCACCAAGCTGTACCTTGAAGTGCATTTCATGGTTTCACTTAACCAATCAGTACTGAACCACTTTTTGCCCCTTCCATTCGGGTGACAACACCTATTTAATTGTAATTTGCCAGTAGATAAACAGCTTTCTGTTGACGGTCGACAGGCAAATGTCATTTTCATATGAAAAGAATAACGCAATGAAGGGAACACAACATACCAAAGGCCAAAGTCCAACAGCATACGAAGGCTCCGTCATAAAACCTTTATTGTCCGTACAAGAAATAAAGTAAAAATAAGTTAGCCACTGTTCATAGTAAAATGTAAAAACAGTCTGCCTAAAGAATTTTCCATGATTGATTCATTTCAAAATCTAATGATTACATGATTGTTTTCATGTTATCTCATGTTACACTCAGTCCACTCCAAATTGCCAAATTTATAATCAATGAAACCAAAATCAGTTTGACATAATCAATCAATTCCACTATTTAAGTAGTTGCAGATGACACATCAGTTTTTGACTTTTTCAACTTTCATACAAGTGTAAAAAGAACATAATCACTATTTAGTGGTTCCACTGTGCTGACAATTACAGTGGAGAGAGAATAGTTTGTTTCTCCTTTGTAACTGCTATGGCGTCCCACTAATAATGGAGCTGATGAGGCCACCTTCACTGGGCACAATGGAAACCGCACTGCGGTGACACCGACAGAACTTTACTGCTTTATGGAAACGTGGCTGCAATAAAAAAATAAAATAATAATAACAATCATGTGCACAAAACAAAAAGCATAATGCTTAATCCTAAAGTTGCAGCTTTGAACAACATTAAGAGCTCCGCTGGATTGTCATGAGGTCATTTTGGATTTGAGCCTGCCCATGTATTTATTCAAGCCATACGCTGCAGCAGCATTTAGCAGCATAAGACCAGATTTAGCCCTCTCTTCCTTCCACGAGTGAGAAGCTTGCCGAGCCATAAGGGAGGGTTTGTCCTAATTTCAAGGTCCTTGTGGAAACTTTAGTTTCCATGTTGGGAAAGCTGTGCATTCTTTTTATTCTCAGAGGCTAATATTTAGAGGTATCGTAATGCATCTGATGCAATTTGTTCACTTAATATTCCTCACACAAGGTAGTAGGTTGAAGAGAAATCCAGAAATCCACTGCTTTAATGACTTTGAACAAACAAAGGTGTTTGGACATGTGTATTGTCTTATAACCATTTTGTATTTTACATTTGTGAAAAAGATGTAAGTAATTTAGGAAAGGGCCGGTAGCTTATTTGCTAAAACAGTAAGTATAATCACTTTTTTTTTTTCTTCGTTCCCAGGTCAGACAGGCCGCTATGTACTGATCCAACGTCTGCGCGACACCGAACGACAGTTGCTGGCCACAGAAAGACCTCTTGAGTCTCTTGCCAAGTTAGGCCAACACGGCAGTGAGGTTCAGTTCTTCCTGCGTCGCACCGGCCCGAGCAGCAGTGATGGGCCTGGCTCAAAACAAGACAAACTAGGCCCTCTACCCCTGCCCAAGTATACTGAGCCGGACCTTTTAAAGCGCAGCCAACCCAAGAAATCACTCACATTCAACCTTGGCCCATCAACTCCTCCCAAACCCAAGCAGTTTCAGAGGTCTCCTCGGGACTCCCCAGACCAGAGAGCCTCACCTTCCTCTTCTCCCACCCCTGCATCTTCTCATGCGCCATCTCCCTCGCCACCAACAGGCCCATCCAAAGAGGAGGTCTTTAGAGCGGTTCTCCAGCAACAAGAGAGACTAAGGGCTATTGAAGCACAACTCGAAACCCTAGAAAGGGAGTCTGATGCTTGGGAGCACCACCACCCGTCTCTGTCTCCTTCACCCATCTCTGATGCTCGCTTCCAAGAGGAGCTGGACACCCTGGAGCAAACCATGCGGATGAATCAGGCTGAGCTCGCCCACGAGCAGTACTGGGAGGAGGAGTTCCAAGCTGAGACGGAGCGGGAGCGAGGAATGAGGAGGAAGCTCGGGGACCTTCATGCTAAGCTAGATGACTGTGGGAGGCGGCTCCATGAGTTCTCGGTGCGCTCCGCTCAGCTAGAGCAAGAGATTCAACAAGAAAGTCAGATGGAAGCCAAAAACAAACGGCCAGACGAGTCCCTTGATGCCGTGAGAGCAGAGCTCCGGAGCCAGGAGAACCACGGAACCGAGTTAGAGGAGCACCTCTCTGAGACTGATAAAGCTCTGGGGAAGACAGAGTCTCTGCTGCAGGTAAGGAGAGAGGCTATAGTTCTGGAAAGGGGGCTGTAATGCCATTGTAGGGTCAATGTGTATGTTTTTTGTTTGTTTGTTTTGTTTTTTTTTTTTTTTTTTTTTGATCTGACAGTGTCGAACAAAACTTTTTCTACCTAGACTGCGGAATGTACCGTGTCCCTCTCTTCCATGTACACTGCAGCAGACAGTACAAAGACATTTACCAAATATAAGGTGTTAACAAGTGAAATTAAAACTCTCTGAATTCTTTATGTCTTGAACTAACAACATTCAAGCAAATGTTATATACTCAGAATCTAACCCATGAAAATGTTATTACAGGAACAATGGGAGGTTTGCTAAGCCAGCTTGGCAGGTCTCATTTTGCATACATGTTCTAAACACATACACACAGTGATTTTATTACAGATGACCATATCTCGGTCTCACTATTCTTGTACTGTATAGAAATGAGATTAAACAGACTTGTTTTGTCACACAAGAGCTTCACTCTATTGGTTCAACTGAGACTTCTCTGAATGTAGTTATTTATTTAGTGACGAATGTCGTCTTGGGTGCGGCTTTGTCGATAAAAGCTTAACCCAGTTTACACTTTTCCTCATAGTCCACGTGAAACGAGAGACTCTGGTGTCCGTGTTGCTGAGCTCATATATTTGAGGTCACGTCATTTGGAATGTTCCGCTTGGAGGGACCAAAGTACAGGGGCAACTTCAAGTCAGGTGATTTGATGGCAAACATTGTGTCCTGTTCCAGTGGGCTCCAAGTCATAAGTGGTTGCAAAACTGATTAAAGAATAATTACAAGCTCATTTGCCTTTCCACAAGTCATTCCTTTGGAGGACCTCTGATTGATGTTCTGAGACTGGCTTTTTGTCAGAGTCATCAGTGCAACTATATACAGTACGTTGCATTCCAAGACCAACATATTAGGCTTATGTTTTTTTCTACATGCACGTTTATATTTTAATTTAGATTATAAACCTGCCTTTTAGAATTTCTGTGAAAAATGACCTAATACAATTTTTGTCCAGATTTATCACGACAAAAATATGCCTATCCACACCCGAAAAAAGGAAGTCTGTCAGCCATATAAGCCATCTGATGGGCCACGGCCGCCAGTCTAGTTACTGCTTTGGGTGTGAGGAGCTCAACGTTACTGCCATTCGGCTAATGGAAACAGATCTGCAGCTGTGAAATGCAATAGGCTGACAACAGTTGACTTGATAAAAGCTAATGAATGATTGCAACGTTGCTGAAAGATTCACTGCAAATGAATGTGCGTGTGTGTGACCGGTGGTTGATGACGTCCCAATGGCAAACCCGGCAGGCTCAGTAGTTTCAACTTTCTAACTCTGATGCCCCCTTATGGTAGGAAATACCACTTGCACCATTATAAGATGAGTCCTATTCTTGTACATTCAATTACATGTCCAGTGCTGTGAAATAGTATTTGCCTCCTTCCTGATTTCTGTGTTCTTTGCATCTGTATCACATACAAAGGTTTTAGTTCATCAAACCAATTTCAAGGAAACCCAAAGAAATACAAAATGTAGTTTCTAAATGCTAATTTATTAAGGCATGAAAAAAAAAATCCAAAATCACCTGTCCCTATTTGAGAAAGCAATTGCTCTCCTTGTTAAATCACAAAAAAGCAAATCCTGAAGGAGAACGTCCAACAATCAGTTGGCACCCTCAAACTCAACCGCTCTTGGATAAGCAGGACAACAATCCGAAACACACCAGCAAACTCACCTCTGAATGGCTGACAGAAAAAAAAAAAATAATAATAATAATGAAGTTTTTGGAGTGTCCATGTCGAAGTCCGGATTTGAATCCAATTGAGATGCTGTGGTGTGACCTTAAACAGGCAATTCACGCGAGAAACCCCCCTAATATGGCGGAGTTAGAACTCGCCAATTATCGCAAAAGCTTGATTTCAACGATTGCTGCCAAGGGTGGCACAACTCATTATTCAGGGTGCAATTACTTTTTCACATGGGGACAGGTAAGTTTAGATTTTTTATTTTGTGTGTGTATAAATAAATTAAATTGGCATTTAGAAACTGCATTTTGTATTTTATTGGGTTATCTCTGTGTGATATTAAAATCGTTTTGATGAACTAAAATCTTTGTGTGTGATAAATACGCAAAGAACACAGAAATCAGGAAAGGGATAGAAACCTCTTTGTGGCGCTGTAATTTAACAGTTCATGTTAAATAAATAAATCTTGTGCACTCTCAAAACATTTTTCATTTGCCACATTCATGTGCCGTATTTGCTTATGTTGCCATTTATTTTTTTTCTTTTTTATTCATCTCAGGCCAAACAGGACGAACTGGAGGAGTTGAACAAGGAGTTGCGGCAGTGTAACCTGCAGCAATTTATTCAACAAGCCGGCGTCCTGCCTGCACATAGCCACTCACGCACAGACCTCCACGAGCAACTGGAGCAGTTAGAATTGACACATCTTTTCCCGGAAGAATACAGCAATGGCAGTAAGGGCACCAGTCAAAAATATTAAAACAGTCTTTCCTGTAGATTTTGCCTTTATGCATTTTTTTTCTCCCTGTAACTCTAGCTGAATCACCGCCTCGCCCGACTGCTAAGCAGTTCCTGGGACATCCACGCAACCTACAGAACCCCCTCGTGTCCAGCCTCAACCCTGAGGGTGTGTATGTGTGAGACCCTGCCGCCTTCTACGTCCATCCCACTCTGCCCCTCTCCTGCCCTGCCCGCACCCTCCTGGTCCCCGGGACTATTGCCCCTCGCATACTTTTCTCCATCCCTGCCTTGTTTTGGGTTTGAGGCTGCTCTTTTTGACGTTGGGTTGTGGAAGCATTTGTAAGGTGGAGGTACCTGCAACTTCTCAACTGCCTTCCTTGTCCTCTATTTTTCATAGCTTGCACTGAACAACCCTCTCTGGTGATTCACCATTGATTTTGTTTGACAAAAATTCACTTCCCCTCTTTACGATGTTATTTCCTTTTTGTCATGTATTGCCCTAATCTGTTCATGCCCCTTCTTTCTTTATTTATTTTTTCTTCTGGACTAACTGCTTTCTGTCTTATTTTACTTGTGCGTATCGGCACACTTAAAACCAATACTTACAGCCCAAAAAGATTTGTCCCCTGGCCAACTTTTCAATAATAGTGACGGAAAATGACACAAGAACCTCAACACCTTAAAACTTGTATAGGAGATAATGATCAGAAAACATTCATGAATACATATTCTGTACCGCTTGGCATCATTATGGGCACGGGTGAGCAGGAGGCTATCCAAGGGGACTTTGAGTGAGAAGTCCAGTCCAGTCAATTGGAGGCCACATATAGACGAAGAACCATTCATCCTTACATTCATTCACACCTCCAGGCGTTGTAGAGTCTTCAATCGGGTTAGCATGTTTCTGGGATGTGTCAGGAAGTCGGGTTACCAGAGAAAACCCATGCAAGCACTGAGACGACACACAAACTCCAGATAGGAGTGTCGGAGCCAAGAATCAAACCCAGAACCTAAGAACTGTGAGCTAGATATATTAATCACACGTTCACTGTTCGGACTCATTTCAATAACACCATTATTAATATTCTTCCTTACCACAGACACACTGTACAGTAATCCTTAATGTTAGGATCAAAGTTACCAGGATCCTTTAGAATGGTGCAGAAGAGTTTAATGAAATATTTTATCATTCATATGTATAAATACACCATTTGCCATTTTTGTATCTAATTTCAAGCCAGAAAATACTGTTTCAACTTCAAATAAAACTTGAAAAATTTGGCCAGGGTATTAATAATTTGGAGCTTTACCTTAAGCGTATCTCCTTTCAGGACAACATTCCTACCAAATCGACAATTTTCATTATCTCCTGACAGCTGCCTTTTCTACTGTATTGCCACACTGATAGCGCATAATGTGCATGTTTTTTATGATCTGGAAAGATGTGATTCAGTTTTGTATTAATGCTATTTATATGTAGAGGGGATAAATCTCCACTCCAATGCCTTGTACTTTGGTGACCGTCAACATCCAAAGAGCAAGAGCCCTCCACAGAGGGCTCCGCATGTTTTGCACTGTCCCATTCTCGCCCTGTGTAAAACCTTGGCCTGTTTGCACATCAGTAGAAATGTATTTCTATTGTACTTGTTAACTTCATTTCACACGTGTCACTTTCTAAGGTCCACATTAAAAGAAGCGAATACATTGTTAAGGTGTGCAAAGAGGCCAAAGTGTAAAATACTATAAAAAAAAAAAAAAAGAAAAAAACATTTCTGCTTGATATGAACGTGACTGTGTGACTGGTTATTTGCCGTCGTCACTCTTAACATTTGTCCTGAAATAACTTCCAGCGTTCCTCAGTGTACTGAAGCTTCAGGGTGTGTTTATATCAAGACAACAAGAGTTCGAAATCCCCCACGCCAGTGTTGATCATATGCTAAGCACTTATCTTGTGGTGACAGGTCAAAATGAAGCCTGTGTTTTGGGAGTCCTTCCCTTATTTGGTGGGATTTTTGAAGTGGTGTTCTCTGCCAGTTTAATCCATTTCTGACCTTGTTTTTCTCCTACTTTGTTCCATAGTGGAAGAATCAATGTATCTCATTTTGTGTTCTTCCTGTCATGTATGAATATCCTGATGGCATAGGTTTCTCCTGAAGGTTTTTTTTTGTTTGTTTGCTTTTTTTTTTTTTTTTTAAACAATGGGATCATTATCCCTACTTGTTTTTGTGTCTTGCAGTCCTGACATCCCGAGAGTCATCATGGCGATAAACATGGACCACAGGGCCAAGGGAAAATTGTTTGCTTTTTATGTCACCATCACCTATTTAACCCCTTTCTTTGCAAATCTCATTATTAATAATACCATGATATACATATTGTATATGCTTAAGACAAATATATTTACAGTGTTTTGCTACTGTAAGTGCTACAAATTACCTGTGTAAACTTTAGGAACCTTTTAGCAATTATTACCTCATATTTAAATGTAATAAAAAAATGTCTTCATGTTTTAGAGAATCTTTTGTGTTTTGATTGTATTTAATTAGCTACATTAATTTTAATCACTTTAATTGTGAACTAATGTATCCGCAACCTCCAGCAGTAAACACTGCACTTCAAAAATTAAATGAAATTCAATGGAATACGAATATATTATAAGATTTGAATTATTCACGCTACTTTCCGTACTTTGCGGCACAATGGTCCGGTGATGCGTTGTGATTATTCCTTGGCTTTTTGGAACCATCCACAGATGCTTGAAAAGTGCACTTTGCATGCAGCAGCTGTAAATTTGGCAACCATCTTGGCTTCAGATCTGCTGCTGTTCCAAACATCGTAGATTGACAAAATGTGATGATGAAGGCACACTATACATATGTAGGCCTTTTGGGATACCACAAGCAGTTTCTTACCTCAGCCAAACAGACAACATAATCACAATTCACGCATCACTTATATTTGGTGCAGCTCTGTCTAAATCAAGATATATACAGTAGTTGAGCATTGGTAGTATAATTACAGATTATAGTCTTCCACCTTCTGTGTCACTTCAGTAGTTGCCGTGAACACACTTAAATACAGTATACTGTATTTGGCCATAATGGGCTGAAAAGTATTTGAACAAAGATACAATTGTAAATATGACCATAAATCTAAATACCTACATGCAACTATATCTATAAATTGAAGTCAATGGTTGCTTCAAGTCTGCAGGTCATGGACATAATCACATTCAGAATTTGCTCCCAGCAGAGGGTGATGTGTCAGGCCTTCATTGCAACCACCAATCACATGCTTTCACTTTTTTCTTTAGTAACTGAAAAGCAGTATTATCTGTCATAGGGTAACTTGTCTCTTGAAAAATAATCCCTGACTCTGTCAAGTGTTAATTGTACAAATATATTGACAATTTTTCTAATATTATGCCCCTAAAATTCAGGTATTCTGCATTAAATTTATTAAAAGTAGACCCATACATACATTTTTTTTTAGTTTTGATCTTAAAAAAATGTTGGTGTTGTGCATAAATGGCCAAAAATAGAACCATACATTTTTTTTTTTTTTTTTAGTTTTGATTTTAAAAACAAACAAACAAACAAACACGTTGGTGTTCTGCATAAAATGGCCATGACTGGTGTGTTCTTATATGCTGGCAGCACAGTGGATCAGTGGTTAGCATGTCTGCCTCAGTCTTCCTGTGTGGAGTTTGGCCATTGTACTCAGGCTTGGAAAAGTTTTTATCTGGACACTCCTGGCTTCTTGCCCAGAATGAAGTCAGGTTTTCATATTTCACTTCCATTGTTCGAGTGGATAAAGGTAAAACCATGAAACTGTCATTGTCTAAATACTTCGCAACTGCAGAGTCTGAACTCTTTTCAGTAGGGCATTCTGTTGTTGCATGATTATGTAGCTTTAAAAAGTCAAATTCAAAATTCAACAATTCTTTACACTCAAATTTGTCAGAAAACCACAGCTCTTTTTCGCCACCCTCGGAGCTTCTTCAAAGTACTGTACTCTCCTCATTTAGGTAGATCTGACGGCTCGCTGACCTCAGACAAAAGGTCTCGAGAAATACCCAAGCATGATCAAAGTTTTTAAAACATAAAATATCAGTCAGTCCATACTGTGCAGTCATATTCACTGAAGCACACATTTTTTTTAATTGTGCAGACATCCCTTTTGTCTTAAAATGGAAATTAAGTGGCTTCCATTTGCACAGGTATGATGAACAACATGCCAGGGTGAACAATGCAAAACTCGACTCCCAGATTTTTTTTTACCGTTGGTGTATAAATGGCCTGAGTTGTGTGATGTCAATATTAGACTCTGGCCCATCTCTGGACCTCTGTCACTCATTTGATCATTCAGTGTCAACTTTTTACTTTCAGAATTTTTTAAAACTCCATGTATTGTGTAAATTGTGAACTTAAACTTCACAAGATGACCAGGTTAGATATAATGATTACTCATCTAGAAGTGGATTATCGTGTGAAGATTTAGAACTGTCTGGTACGGGTTATATAATCGCTCTAATCCATGTGTTGGCGCCACTGTCTGGACAGACAAGGTGCACCGCTGACGCCCACTTGTGGATATAAAGAGTCCTACAATGCCGTACAGGCGTTTCCAATCAAATGTCCAACCAGCTGCTTCAGTCACACAGAAAGCGATGCAGTTGTTTATATGCCGGATGATCCCCCTTGAAACAAAAATGATTACATTGCTTTAATATTCCCAATTAGATGTTTTATTTGTGTTTTAAATGCAAGTTATAGTCACCCACTTTCCAGGAGAATGCGGACTTCCCATTAAAATGATTGCTTTCGTTTCAGTGAGACCACTTGCAAAAAAAAAAGGGAGGGGGAGATAAATCACGATCGCTTATTAAAATGTGTCACTTTACAAATCACACATAAAGAACATTAAGTAATGATTTGAACTGGTATAGTTTGAAGGCAAATTGTTGCAGTCATATCATGGATATTCAATATGAAGGAACAAAAGTATTTGAGAGTGTAGGTCACAGAGTTCGGACCTACAAGAATACGTGCACCCGCCGTGCGGGCCATAAATAAAGTACAGTAGGTGCACAAAGGGCGGGGTTGTTGGACCCCCCAACGCAGGCTTGCCCGATCGGCAATATAGTACGGGGACATGGTGAAGGCGTGCTTGCTGAATGATGTCTTGTCTGCTCCATGAGAGGCATTCCCAAAACCAGGTTAGCCGCTGTCACACGCACAGTGGAACTGGCATTGGGCGCAATGTGCGTTAGTCAGTGGCTTACCTGCTTTTAGAGCTTTTCAATCGCTGCACTGGCAGCAAAAACACACAAACAATATTATGAATAACACACATTGTACCGTCAAACAAGACATAACATAAAGAACCGGGGCCGTTTATTGCATGACATCTGGTGTAAATGTCATAAAAAGAAGTATAAAATAGTTCCACTGACCCGATGCAAGCAGTGTACTGTACACAGTGATTGGAGTTTTATTCCTAAATAAATTATCCAAATATGTAATAATTACATTATAGGAACTGTAGATAGTCCAAAGACAGGTGAGATGTAGTCTATTTCATTAATTTCAGATGAATAAAGAACGTCCATAACGTCCTTCCATCCATTTCCAACATCGTTTAATAGAGGTGTCTAAATAAGGCTCTACTTACCGGTCCCAAGTTTTTCTTGTCATATTACTAAATTTAAAAAAAACGTGGCGTGTTATGATGTGAGCATATTTCGCCTATTTCCAGACACGCTAGTTATTTATGTTTCTTTACTAAAATCACAGCGTTTGCAAAAACTTAGGAGCATTTAAAGATTATAGCAAACCTACACAGCCGAAGTTGAGTTCACTTGCACTGGCTCTCCCCAGCCCACTCCCGTGCATCGACAACCTGACCTGGTTAACAAGGCAACAGGCACAGCGTTCAGCCAATGAGCCTGTCGTTAAGCAAAATACACCCCGCCTATAAGGCGTTATTGACGAATGAAATCCTCAGAAAGGTCGTCTTTCCACAACTAGCAGTTCTTTAACGTTGACGCTCTAGTTGGGGTGCGGTGCGTTCAGTTTCGCACGTCTTACATTAGGGATAAACCATTCCACTTGTAATCAATTTTCTGAAATGTGATTATTTACTCAAAATTTCAACCATAATTTATGTATTTATATTTAAATAAACTCATTGAGTATTTGTAACTGTATTTATTAACGCAATACACGGAATTTAAACCACTTTGAACAAACGACGCCCCTATGCGCACAGCGCAAAGTGGTTGAACTCGACTCGCTTGTGTACAGTGTTGCCATGAGCAGAGGGAGGTTGTGCACGTAGCAAGGATACTGCTTGACAATCTGATCTCACGATGACGACCAGGAAGAAGAGCGCTTCATTATTCACAACGTGACATTCGGGAACATTCTTAGCCCATTAAAAACACTGATGAATTATTCGTGTAATAAGAGCATTGCATGTTTTTAATGCAGAATCAATATTGGACATGGTCTTTAATTACATTTTACCGCAGGTTTCAAATTGTAATAATGAAAAAGAAAGTATAATAAAACAACAGGGATCGGATTTGTCAAAAGGAAACACTGAGGTTTCTCCAACTATACACCAAGAACAGTGAGTTGCCAGTCACACATCCTGTTGGCGACCTTTATTTGAACCTGTTTATTATTTGGCTATGAATCCCTGGCTGGATTATTCCCATCCAGGATCCACATAACCCCATGACATAGTGTACCAAATCAGGATTACACTGCATTATGTAACATATTACAGTGGTTTGTTAGATCGTAGAAAGGGTTCTGTCAGTCTGTCAGTGGTTTGTTAGGTTGAACAATAGGGGGCGCCAGATTACACAGTGACGTCATACACACGGTTTCCCCCGACGCAATGGTTTCGTAGGCTTTGTGTATTTACCGGTGTGGTTCCCAGATGTGATTGGCCTGCACGATTGTGTCAGGGTTCTTCAGTGGCCTGCATGCTTGCTAATGACGTCACGCTTAATGTGATGTGTGATACAGTATATTTCTTTGCCTCAGAATACAGTATACAAATACAACGGCCAGGGGTTAACAGACAAAGAAGCAAAGAAATCCATGCATTCATCCAACCATGATCTAAGCCGCTTATCCTCACGAGGGTCGCGGGTGTGCTAGGAACCAATCCCAGCTGTCTACGGGCATGTGGGAGGAAACCGGAGTACCCAGAGAAAACCCACGCAGGAACGGGGAGAACATGCAAACTCCACACAGAAAGGCCGAGGCCGGAATCAAACGCTGCAACTCTGCACTGTGAGGCTGGCATGCTAATCAGTCGAACACCATGCCGCCCCAATACTATATATAGTGCTACATATAGGGTGAGACTACATAGTGAATAAGTGAGGACATTCGGAAACAGCCAAGGAGATTGACTGATGAGGGAGGAGAAAACAAATGTTTGTCATTTCTAAATTTGGAAGGAAGAGAGCGATGAAATGCCTTATGCAAGGAAGGCACCCGCATGTTCTCCCGGACAAATGATTGTTTTTTTTTTTGTTTGTTTTTTTTTTTTAAATGGAACGATAATATAAATAAAACTAATCCCGTAAAATAATCTGTTTGCAAAACGTCACACCTGAACACCACTCCACACCAGTAGGTAGCGGTAATGTACTTAAACGATATTTACCTGCTGCCATTAAACAGCAAATGAACAAGAACGTGCACTCGGCAATTTCCGTCGAAACAGCCGGCGGTGTCACTCAGCACATTTCACTTAGAAACGAAACGTAATTTACTCTCTGCGTAGATTTCACTTTGCCATCTAATATGGTAGGTTGGCTTTTTTTTAGCCTTTACATACTCAATTATGACTCGGTGCGGGTTGTGCACGCTTGCGTGCAAGGGTGAATGAAGAACAATTTTCCTTTGAGTGTGGTCGGAGATCAATGCTAAATTTAGCTTATGCTACTCAAAGGGTAGCTAACAACACGGCTTCATGCTAATACAAATGTTGCTTGTTTGTGTTTTAAACAAGTATTTTTTTGTTTGGTGTCATAAACGTGTTAGGGCACGCATCTGTAATAAATATCTCTTGACGGTCTGTTAATATTTTATGCAATACACAATGTAGGCATCGTTCTATGTGGAGTTTGCCTCTTTGTTGACATGTAACCTTCGTCTTCTGGGCAAGCAAGCATCTTCCAGCATTTAAATAATCTTCTTTAATAAACAATGTTTCTCGTTTAATTTGGACCTCATGATGTCATAAAGTATTGTTTTTCATAACACTGATTTATATTTGTAATGACCTGTATTTGCATCCTTCATGTTCACTTTTATGTTATTTTGACACAGGCAACATAATGGGAATAAACGTTTCTGTTTGAGCAAATCAACTTGCCCTGGCTTTCTCACAGTGACTAATCTGGCTCTCGGTTAATCCAGTTAACCACCACTTTTAAATTTCAATAATGGTTGTCAATGTCATATTTCCAGCTATTTTGCAGACAAGAGTTGGAGTGAATTCTGTTCATGATCGGTTATGGATGATGATGACAGCCCAGATGAGCTGATAAGGCGTGGTGTCCACAAAAAAAGACCTGCACCATGGAACATTTCCGGTACTGTGTGATAAACACAGATGTTTATCACGAAAGCATGACACGTATGAATAACTTGTACACAAAAATAATTTTTTTTATTTCCATTTACATTATATTGTTTTAGACTCTGATGATGACATTGATGCGTCTGAAGACGGAGAATCAGAGAGCAGCGATGAAGACGACAGCGATGATAATGATGATGATTTGGAGGGTGAGGTGGACAATGAAAAGTAGGATGGTATTAGTTATGTTAATGTCGTTATATGTATTTGAACAGTCACTTTGGTAACTCCATATAAGATAAGAAATCCTTTATTAGTCTCGCAATGGAGAAATTCCCAATTCACAGCAGCAAAGTTACGAAAGGAAGAAGTAGAAGAATAAAATATAGGAGCTGCTGGAAAGGCAGCCACTCTCGCGGCGCCATCTTGAAGTCAAAATAACAAAATAACACAACACAACACATAAGGCATAGAAAAAAAAGTAGTGTGTTTCCGGAAACCCGACCGACCGAGAATTTCTACCTTGAAAAAAAACTTTACGGTTGGAATTTTTTTCAAACAACCTTCTACATTTTTGTGAAGAGGGTTTACATCAGTGCAAACTCTCGTGATATTCACGTTGAGTGTGCGCGTCGTTTTTGCCCTGTCGTCTCTCAACAACATTGAATCATGGTGGCGGCCACGATCTCCGACAACAGTTTAAACCGCGTTTTGTGTGTTGCAGTCGCATGCTCGCACCATAATATTAAGAAAATAGCATCCATTGATGTATCGAAAAGATTCAGCGAACTATTTGACGAACACCATGGACCGAGTAAAACCGAGAGCGGAGGAGGATGGAAGCAGCGGTGCGCCCCGGCCCCCCGAGTCCGGTGCGGGGACAAAACTAAATAGATGGCGGCCGCGCCGAGCGGCGGGTTCAATGTCTTCTTGTTTTATGTTTTATGGTTATTTTGTTTAAATTTTTGATGGAAAAAAAAAAAGATTAAAAAAAAAAAACTTTGTTCGACCTACCGACCCTATGCTGAAATTTCATGTTACCGGAAACACACTACTTTTTTTTCTACGCCTAAGACAGACAGTCGTGCAATCTTAAATCACTTTTCCTGCATACACTTTGTTGTTTGAAGCAGTTATAGATGAAAGAGGAGAGGATCAAAGTGTCCTTTCACCAGTGAATCAGAGACGTCATGCTGAAAATGTGCACACGACAACACGAAGCTGTAGCGTCCATTGACGGAAAGAGATTGGCTCACATCTCCTGTCCCACGTAATCCGCTTCAACTCCAAGCCACGACTCCCAGTTCCACATCCGCATCGTGTCATTATTTTTCATTATTGCAATTAAAGTAAGCCCCCTAAAAAACAAATACAGTAATCCCTCCCTTCAGCAAGGTTCATCTTTCACGGTGTCGCTGTTTCATGGATTTGTTTCGTGCAGTTTGTTTGTTTATTTATTGATCTTTTGTACAATGCATTGTGTTCTGCATCCTGAACGTTTCAGGGAGTATTGTATAAACTAATGTGGACAGTCTGTACGCCTCGTTGCTGTACAGCATGCCAAATTTTATCCATGACAAAACCACAATGTTGATGAAATGTTCTATATATATAATATATATATATATATTTTTTTTTTTTTTAATGCTTAGGCCTGAAAAAACGTTTAATCTTCGGTTTCATTCAAGACAGGACTGTATATGTAATAATTGTAAAAAATAAAAATGACTATTTCACGGGTTTCACTTATCACGGGTTCTTTTTGAAACGTAACCCTCGCAATAAATGAGGGATTATTGTATCGTGTTATGCACCACAAACGTCTCTTATTGACAGATTTAATACTTGTGCAAACTATGAAACTATGATAATTGTGTGCTAAACCATGTTCCCATTGTGGTGGACGGATACTAGTCACACTGTCTTCCATTTTTGTTCCTCTCAGTTGATGAGGATAGTAAATAGATGTGTTTACATTCAAGGTCATGTTGTTATCAAAAAATGTAATTGAGTTGTAAACTTGAAATCAGCACATTTCAGTGAAAATGTAAGTTTGACCAACATAAATTCTCCTATTGCGATAAGTAAATACAGATATAACAGACAGCAGTTACTTGATGTATTTTCTTGACTATTATTTTAAATTTGCATGAATGATCAATAACCTATACAGTGTATTATCCATATAAGGTGAGGATGAAGAAGAAGACGCTAAAGCTGGGGATGGAGTTTTAGGCGAGCCCTCCACAACTATTTCAACCATGAGCTCAGA